TTATTTGCTATGTATTGAAGTCCACCCCAAAAATTATTTCTATATACACCACTGTCAAAATAGTATTGTATTAAAATATATTTGCTTTTACTTTATATTGTCTTGTTGAGTATATTATTAAATTGTATGTTTATATTGCTTTAAATTTAGCCATATGGAATGAGCATCAGTCAAAAATTGATATGGTGCACAAATTATTGCGGTCATCGCAAGACAAACTCGAAGAACAAATTAAAATTAGAAATGAACAAGTTAGTGTTGTCTCATATTTTGTGTATTGCTTATCAAAATCAAATATATTCATTAAAAAAATCAATATTGATATGGATATTGTTTTATTTTCAGAATAAACAACTCTTGAGCGCTGATATGATTGTTAAAGAACTTTTCATCGAAAATGCTAAATTAATGTCAATGATCCACAGCCTTCAAACACAAATTGACCGTTCATCAAATTATAATTCAATGTAACTGGTGTTTTCATTATTGAACATTTTTTTCTTCAATAATTATTTGTTAAAATACTGTGCTACATTGTACAGCTTATTTTACCCACATTTGTAGTTTTAAGGACGTAAACACTGTTAGTTTTTTAAAGTGTGGATCTTTATCTTTTTTTTTCATTCTATTTTTTACTATAATTTTGTTTTTATTATTCTTAGTAATAAGCTTAGTTTATAAATTATGTTTCCTAAGTATGAAATTACTGTTAACAGTGCCTTAAACGAGGAGCTTAAAATATTATAAGGGCTCTTCCTATTGAGCCCTTAATTTATATATACGTAAATTATGGCAGGGTGATTTTAAAATGAAAAAATATCCAAAAAAAAAAAAAACGTTATATTTTAGTCAAATTAAAATATAGGTTATTAATATTATTGTACTATTATTTTATGATGTATTAATGACGCAACTTTTGTTGTGTTAACTGTTAATTACTTGTAGGCTTTAATATTATATGAATCTATAAAATAACAATTATTATTTACTATATCATAATATTTACTATTTAGTCATTAGTCAGATTGTTCTAGTATACAATTCTTCAACTTTGAATGATAAAACAAAAAAATTTTCTGGCTCTACCTAAAACCTGCCTTTCTTGATACAACATTTAATGATTTCAACGCTATCTGACTGATGGCTATTTTTGCTTWACATTTATTAGTAATTTACTGATCTTAGAATCGTATGTTTTTTTTTTAAATTTTAGTTTGCAACTCATAGTGTAGTTTGATTTGTTAACTTGGAGATGAGTCRATTCTGTTAGAAATTTGATATAGCATAATTACCTCTAGAATCCTTTTGTAAGTGATGTTCAACACATGAATCAATACACATGTTTAATATGTCTAGTCATTTTTATAAACTTAAATCATCTTTAAAGGTAAAAAATGTCTAAGTGCAGTTTTTATTAAAACAAATACTAGTCAGGTTAACATATCTCATCTCTAAGTGYACCTATTTTTAGTGCTTGTTTGTGTTGGGAATTCTTTTTGTAAAATGTATCTTGCTGAGGCACAGATTAAATGGTTGTGTTGGATGTATTGTCGTAGGGCGTTAGTCTCAAATATCGGGATGTAATATTCAGATTTGAATAATAGTTAAGTAATAAATAATATAAATTACGTSTTTACGGCTCATTACAAACAACCGAATTATTACTATTTTTTATTTATTATTTATGTTTTTTTTGTTTGTTACTCAACTTCTATTTTTTTTTTTTAAATTTGTTATTCATTTATGTTAATTAATAAGTCAATATAATTATGCTGTTATCATATATTATTTTGCACATAAACATAAAGTAGCCAAAGACTTGTTTAATGTTTATTATTATAATATAAGTAATTAAAGTCATTTAGAATGTATTAGTTTATTAATTTTTATAGTCAATTTATCTAAACACTAATTTTGAATACATTAATTAGTCTTAACACAACACAAAATTACTTGTTCAAGAAAATACATTGACCTAAATAATACAATAGATATATTAATTATAAAAAAATCTGTTAAAGTATGTACAATATGCGAGTAAAAGTATAAATTAAATTAAAAAGCTAAAAGTACACAAGTAAAAAGTTTACACAGATATTGTATATAAGTTTAATTGACAAAAAATAAAATAAATTAACAAATATAAAATATTTATCTTAGGCCTGGTCCCAGTATAGTGGGTCTAGAAGTACGCTTCTCATGTTCTTTCTTCTTGTTTGGGTCTGGCAAAAAACACTTCCACATTCGCAAGGTTTCATCTGCACCAGCTGACAGCACTGTTGATCCATCTGGCGACATAGCCAAATTCAAAATACGATTTGTATGTCCAGTGAGCTCAGCAACCTTAAAGATAAAATTAAAAAAATTAAATTTGCAATTGTACTTAATGCCTATATATTTTGTTATCAATCAACTTACTTTTGTCAGTGAAGGATACTTCCAAATTGTGAGCTGGTTATTTGCAAAACCGTGTGCTGATACCAATTCTTTGTAAGTTTTGGACCACAGAATAGCACACACCTGCGAATTGGCATTGACTGAATTGATACACTGGCCGTTATTGCAATTCCAAAACCTGATGGTTCGGTCAGCTGTACCACCTCCACTGGCTAGTACATTGGTTTGCCACGGACACCAGTCCAATGCTTTAACAGCAGCTTGATGTTGGCTAGAGTGAATATATGGAAAATTATAGTCCGCTATACATTTAAATGTCTGAATAAATCAATATTACCTGAAACTGTATATTGGTTCAGATTGGTAAGTAGCTTGGCCTGGTAAGCCACTGTACACATTCAGTAGATTGTCATTGCCTCCACTGGCTAGATAACGACCATCAGTKGACCATTTAAGACCACAAACCTACATCAGACCAAACAAGTTAGTATAAGATATGTAACATGACATTAATATAAAAATACAAATTCAATAAGGATTGCATACTTCTTGAGTGTGGGATTGAATTGTACCAACAATGTGTTCTCTTTGTCTGACATCATTGTGAACAAGTTGGCCATTTCTGCAGCCAGTTGTTAGTATATGACTATTCCATGACATAGCACCCACTCTTGAGCTGTGACTGTTCATTATACGCAGCCGCTTTGTCTGTGATGCGTCCCATAACTAAGTAGATAAATAATAATATTAGTTTAATAGTTAATAGCGTTAACTAAAGAACAATGTTTAACAGCAAGAATTCAACATACTTGTACAGGTCCTAAGGCAGTTCCAACACCTAATAAATTTCCATTAGGTACCCAGCTTAGAGAAGTAACATAATCTGCACCTTCTAAATCTAACAGTTGATCAATGGCTCCAGTGTCAGCATTCCAAAGATATACACTTGTACCCAAGGCGACAGCCAATATGTTGGAAAAGCTCCAGTCAATTAAATTTAGGTCTGTTAAAAATCAAAACTGTTATTAATAGTCACATGGGTATAGTTAATGGAATACTGTACAATAGTCATCAACAATTTCAGGAGCATCCAAAATTCGGTCCGGAGCATGCGGTATATAACGAGTAGCTCCACGTACATTCATGGGAGTCTTGGATTGACTGTAAACTACTTTTAAGGCGTTTTGGTAACCCTAAAATCATTATTAATTATAATGTAAAATATGCTTATAATTAGTTATTATTTATTATACATCTGGAGGAGCCGGTGCTTTGTTCTGATAGGAAAGAACACGAACATTATTAATGTCACATCCATGAAGATTTTCAGACATAGCTTTTCTGTAGTCTGATTGAGTTGGACTTATGTCAAGGTTTTCGTTTTCTTGGTTCATCTACGAAACAAAAAAATAAGTAATTAGTTGACATAAATATTTTAAATATTTGTGAATTACTTACCTTAAAATGACTTATGTCAAAATTTGTTGACATTCTGGAAGGAATGAATCTGTCACCACCAGGTGTTCTAGGCTTTGCTGGTGTGTTAGAAGCTGATCGTGAAGCTATTCAAATAAATAGTTTTACTGAATGCGATTGATTATAAATTATGTTAAAATATTTAAAAATGAATATCTATAAATTACTATATTTATTTATTTTCTTTTTCATATAAGTACAAAATGCGAGTATATTTAACTGAATAATAGAATCTTGTTAAATAAAAATATTCAACATTTTAACTGTTTTAGGAATAATTGTATGTTTGGATTATTAAAATAAATAATGATAGAACTAACATAATTATATAAATACGAGTATATGCATCAAGATTCAGGGTACATTTAAATTTGAGTAATTTATCAATTTACTAGATTTAAATTATACATACCTTTAACCTACCAAGGTACTTCAATCCAATATTAAAAAAAACGATATTATTCCTTACCTTGAATGACAGTATGTATATTTTTATAACTATTATCAACTGATGATTCTGGAGAGTTGACATTCAATTTTCGAGGTTTTAATTTATTTCTTTTGAAAAATCTGTTTAAATGGCTTTTACTCATTTTTAATGGATAATTTTAACAACTTTTTGGATTAATTTTAATTGATGAATAATTAGGTATAGAAGTAATTGATGTTATAATAGTAAAAATAAAATTGTAGTATTCGATAATACCTATCTGGTATGTGCATAAAATAATTTTGATAACTAGTGACATAGATGCAAATATAAATTTAATAACCTTACTAACCTGGTGATTTTGATTTACTAGGTGTTTTTGATGGTGTTTTCTTGATAGGCATCAAGTCAATAGTTTTTCTTGAYGTATTTGCAGAACTATCAGAATAAACACAGCAAAAACATAAACATACCAAACACATTTCTTGAAGTATACACGCATGCAATACTTAAAAATATACATACCTTGAAGTTGATTCCACGCTTTTCTTCATCCAACGAGGAGCTGGACCGCTAGTAATGGGCTCATCCATTCTAACAGCACTTTTAAGATCATTTACAAAAGTAAATTGAGACATTTTAAAATTAATGATACGTATTAGGTATGTATATTTAAATGAAGGTATATAATATATAGATGGTGAACTGTTGTCCTTCGCCGTGAAATAACAAAAACTGTTATTCGAGTATTTTGTTCACAAGGAATAAAACTAACAAAATGAAAAAATAAAAAAATAAAAAATGTTAAAAAACATATAAATGCAATAGATTAGAATTATAGTATGATTGTAAATTTCATAGTAATATGTATCACAATTGTAATTTTATTTACTTACTTTGAATAGCTGGATCAATGCAGGTAGCAGGATGGTCTACTGGAAAGCAAATTAAATGTTTGTAAGACGTGTAAGTGGGCACAAAAGAAATGAAGGATTCAAAAATTTAAATATCCTGAATAGGATCATAAAGAATATTTCTCTGGCWGACAAATATAATGTTTACAATTAAAGGTATGTAAATTGTATGTTAGAATAAACAAAAAAATTAGATCTGGCACGAAAAATATAAAAATCAACTACTGTTGAGTTATGACTGTTATAATAAAGTACAATGTCTAAAATCGTCTGCCAAAATGGCTTTGTTCTTAGACGACAGTCGAAAAACAAAAATCGAAAACTGTTGGAAACATTTATAGAAAGTGGAGGACTGGAGGCCAGAATACCAGATTTCGAAAAGGATTCCGAATCTATATTCTATTCTCTATAAAATAGTCTGTTGTGCTTGTGATCGGACTGAGTTTATGACTTTATGAGTGTTATGACCGTTGTCCGTTAAAATACGGTTTTGATTTTGAATATTGTACATTTGTACTCCCTGATCACTGATGGATGCCTGTATTGATAAGAAAACGAAATTACAGTGTGACCAGATGAACGATATTGTGCGAATATCCCCTCCCCCACAGGTTAGCAATTAAGTCCCGGGGGGTTTGGGGGCCGGAATTGCGGAAAAAAATCCCCGGAAAAAAATCCCCCGACGAACGAACCCGGGAAAAAAATCCCCGACCCTAGGAAAAAAAATCCCCAGGCCGCAATATTACTCACAACCTCATGCAAATGGTTGAACATATATTTTTAAACGTTAATTAACACCTACGCACAGTAAAAACATATAGCATATAAAAATATTTCGAATAATTAATGCGTCAATAATACAMAATATAGWTAATAATAATAAAATTAATAATAATATAATAATTATCAAACAATTATCATTAAACGTAGGCACCTATTCACAGTAAAAACATATAATGATATAATTGTTTGTAGTTTTTTGAAATTTTCAACAAATGTTTATAGGTATGATGTTTTCTATGTAGGAATGTATGATAACATTTTCAAAATATTTTAAATATTTTAGAGCTATTTATAATCAAACGTTATGATGATYATGACTTTATATATTAKACAAAAAACTGTTGACATTTTTAAATGTAATTATAACGGAAAACTAGTATTTATAATCAATGATAGAACGTAGTCCAATTAAAATTGAGCGCAATTGGTGTTGAGCGTATGCGTATTAACGTAAAATCGCAAGCTTTGGAAGGCTATAACTTCCAAAATAGATAATGGTTTCCGCACAAAAAATTCAAAAAATTTCGAAATCGGCGTTGAAGAACACGTCTWAAAAAAAAAAAATTCGAAATTTGTGAGGGGCGTGGTAAAGTGYATTTGATCCCAAAATTTTATTTTACATTTAAGTGCATATTTTAATGTTAAAAGAATATAGTTATATAAAACCATATTTTTGCATATAAATTGTGTGTCCTATTTCATTTTGCCGTAACCGCTACYGTTACCGATGTGTCGATGTGTGTTCCTTTTACTCAGTTTGCCTCACATGATGGAGCCTTTAGAGAACTTATTATTTAATATTTAGTCAATTCATAGGTAGGTACTGCCATTGCCATAAATATTCAACTGTTCAAGTGATCCATGATTGTTATTTGTATGGCCATATGGGTATTAAACAGYAGGCATTTGTTACCGTGATGTCTAATAATTATTAAAAACGATATTAAGTATAGGCTCGCACTGAATACTATATTAAACATATAATAATAATAGTTGGTGTCTGCGATTAAAATRATTACCATGTGCTTTCTATTTATTATATGAATATGATCAACATTTTATATAGAAATTGTTTTGTGTCTATGATATACATACAGGGTGTTCCGCGATTATTTACTCATTGTGATATCTCCCGAAATAAGGGAGATATCGAAATTCTGTTTACGTAA